GAGATAGATTAGAAGGAAACAAATGTTTGAAACTTTTCAACATCTCTGAGGGGCAGGATCTTTTTGAAAAAAGAGGGAAGGATTATTAAAAATTTTCACACAAGGTAATGTTACAGGATACTACTTAAACACTTCACACAAATTAAAAAAAAAAGTTAACTGTAAGCTAAGGCATTATTGCAGTTAAACATCTTTTATCTCACTTTAAATACCAATTTTTATTTACAAGTTCTTACGTTATGAGAGTCAGTTCAAAATGCAGTGAGCACCACTGTATCTCTTATCTTTTTGAGTGTAGTTGATATGTAATACACTACAAATACAGATATATGTATCAAGAAAAAATGTATAATAATTTAACTTCAAATATTCATTTTGTTAAGTAGTCTAACAAATAAAACTTTTGTGAGTTTTGTAAAACAATTGTAACATCATGAAAAAGAAAGATGATACATGGGTACTTCTTAAAACTACACTCCAACTTCACATGTATAGCTGAGAAATGGGCTATAAACTGTTTGTAAATTAAACACATTTTAAATTCCAGCACATTTCAAATTAAATTAGCCTTTAATACTTTGTTTCTGGACAATGACAGCTTTTAGTCCACATATTTTATTATTTTGAAAATAAGAGATGCACCAGAATTAGGAAACTTTCTATAAACACAGTATCTGTGTTCTTAATAACATCACCATACTAACAAACACACATCAACACTTACATCACGAAGCTGTACAGAATATAACATTATTTGGTGAACAACAACAACAATTTTAAACTAACTTTTCTAAAAATAGTTCCTACCATCTGTTCCACTGCAATTGCTATTTATCAACCACTCTGTAGCCCCCTCTCCATAACAACTCTTTTTGTAAGTAAAATATACATTTTGTTATATCTCACATGAAACTTCTCTTCTTGATGTGCAATTCTGAGGCTATAAAATAGGCTTCTAATCAGAAAGCAAATAAATTTACTCTTCATAAAGCTGTACGTTACCAGTTTAATAAATATTTTTTCGGATGGACCATTTGGACAAGTATTATAAGGATCTTTCACCAATCTCAGTAAACACATATATACATACAATGTGAACAATTAAATTCTAAGCAGTATTGCTATAAGATACGTAATGTAATATCATACATGAAAGAAACATTAATATTTAACTTTCGGGTATCTAGGAATCATTCTACAATACAAGACAGACAACTGCATAGCTGTAATAAAGGAATTGTAGACATGTACATGGACTACATAATGCTTTATTTAGATAACTGCAGATATAACAACATATAATACAATAAATTAACATGCTATATACAAAATATCTTAAAACCTGTAGCACAAAGAAACCCCGCCCCCAGCGGTATATCTGTGAACTTACAATGCTAGAATCCGGGTTTCGATACCCATGGTGGGCAAAGCACAGATAGCCCATTGTGTAGCTTTGTGCTTAACTTCAAACAAAGAAACCCTCACATCTCAAACCATAACATAGTACAAAACAGAAATGCATCAAGCAAGTTAATCTAAAAACAACAGACTTAATCTGCATTATCTGATTATCTAAATAACACACAGTTTGCGAGTCAGGGAGACATGTTTGGTGGGTTGATTCCCAAACAAAGCTTTCTGGTACTCTCTTTAAAAAAACAAAAATTCTGAATAAATATTTGAACTCCTCGTAATATCTGGAATCTCATTACCCAGTAGTGTGGCCAAATTCATACTAGTTTCCAGGCTATGATGGAGTAAAACCCATATACCCATCCTATATCCCAACAAAACATGATAGTTACTGAACATGTTGCACAATACAAGAGCTAATTCCTCAGTTCTATATATCCGTTTTCTCTGCAGTTTGTTCTAGTTTCTTGCTGCTGTAAGGTAGCTAAGTGTGATACTTGTCTGAACATGAATACTTCTACTAGTTTGGTGCAAGAAGAACATAGTTTGCCCAACCCCCTTAACTCCACATCTTTGTGCCCAAACACTTGAAAGGTGAGCCTTTTTGGCAGTAAACTGTGATTTTGCGAGGTCAATAGATCAAGCCCTTTATCAGAGTATACTTATTTGGTTCTAACTTGAATACCAGAAACTGTATCGCCCACTCCGTAGCTCAGACAATTCCCAAAATTTGGTTCCATTGGCTCACAGGCTGGGTGTTAAAACTTGTAAAAAAATTTATGTTGAACAAGATGTGACTCAAACTTTTTATTTTATAAAGTATTGCTGAATAATGCGATATACAAAAGTAAAGAAGGACTGCAGTTGTATACATAAATAAAACAGAAAATCATGAAAAACATTTCTAACAAAGGTATTTAAAACTACATACACGTGTTATAGTCAACAGCATAATCTTCAACATTTTCAACCATTATTCAGAGTATCTGCTCTTAAGATATGTTTATAAACACTGTGCGATAATATAATAGAGTGTGATCATTAATACTGAATATCAATAGTTCTAATTCATTAAACACAACATTTACTAAACACACATTTCAAATAACTATACACTATTTCTACTTACATAGCATAGCAAATTTATATGTATATACACATAAATTGATATATATATATACTTTGAAATGTATTAACACACAAACAATCAGCTCTCTCTTTCAAGGTCATAGTAACTGAATACACTTTTTGAAATGTGCAGTTATAATATTAGCATTTTTTCTCTCACATACTATCAGCTACAACTGAACAATTAGATTTGCAGTGTATGCAACTATAAGCTAAAAGCTGTGTTGCCCCAATGCATATAGGTACCATTGAAAAGCCATATGATTCCAGTCCTTATAAATATCACTGTATTTATTCCAGTCAATAAGCATCAATCTTCATTTAAATTGTTCCAGTCTATATGGTTACCAGCAAAAGTTGTATTATTTCACATCTTTATAAATCTCACTGTCCAGACTATCCAGCTACCATCAACGTTGTATTTTTCCAGTCTTTATAAATCTCACTGTCCAGGTTATGCTGCTACCAGCAACATTGTATTATTTCAGTCCATATTGCTACCAGCAACATTGTGTTATTCCAGTTGTTATAAATCTCACTGTGCAGACTATACAACTACCAGCAACATTGTATTTTTTCCAGTCTTTATAAATTTCACTGTCCAGGCTATACTGCTATCAGCAACATTGTATTATTGGAGTTGTTATAAATCTCACTGTGAAGACTATACAACTACCAGCAACAGCTGTATTATTTTAGTCTTTATAAATCTCACTGTCTAGACTATACAACTACCAGCAACAGCTGTATTATTTTAGTCTTTATAAATCTCACTGTCTAGACTATACAACTACCAGCAACAGCTGTATTATTTTAGTCTTTATAAATCTCACTGTCTAGATTATATAACTACCAGAAACAGCTGTATTATTTTAGTCTTTATAAATCTCACTGTCTAGACTATCCAGCTACCATCAACATTGTATTATTACAGTCTTTATAAATATTATTGTTCTATTGCTTCAGACTGTTTAGTCACCATTGTACACTTCAGTTTGTCATTGTACAGTCCTGATGGTTCCTGTCCATGTTGGTACCATTGCACAGCCCTGATGGTTCCAGTCCATGTTGGTACCATTGTCACAGCCCTGATTGGTTCCTGTCCATGTTGTTGCCATTGCACAGTCCTGATGGTTCCAGTCCAGTTGCTACCATTGTACAGCCCTGATGGTTCCAGTCCATATTGCTACCATTGTACAGCCCTGATAGTTCCAGTCCATGTTGCTACCATTGTACAGTCCTGATGGTTCCAGTCCATGTTGCTACTATTGCACAGTTCTGTTAAAATTCTGATACAATTATATGTGTATCCAAGGCATCATGTACAGTCTGAATGTTTTCAGTCCACATAGTAACCACTTAAAAGTTCTGTTGTTCCAGTCCATGCTGCTACCATTGTACAGCCCTGATGGTTCCAGTCCATGTTGCTACCATTGTACAGCCCTGATGGTTCCAGTCGATGTTGCTACCATTGCACAGTTCTGTTACAATTATGATACAATTATATGTGTATCCAAGGCATCATGTACAGTCTGAATGTTTTCAGTCCACATAGTAACCACTTAAAATTTCTATTATTCCAGTCCATGTTGCTACCACTGTACAGCCCTGATGGTTCCTGTCCATGTTGCTACCATTGTACAGTTCTGATGGT